TGCATTTGATGAGTTTTGGTGTAAAGGATAAAAGCTTTTGAGAAACAATAAGTTTGTTAGTCACATCTTATGTTTTCTAAATTGGCAGTCATAGGAGGACTATGCAAATTACATAGCTGTAAATCTGGAATTTTAAACTGTTTTCTATTGAACATGAATACATTTCAGTTATCTAGAGGAAAAAACAAAATTAATATTACAAGTATAGATTAATGCAATTTTTCCTTTCCCTGCAGCTATAAAGATTTCCTGACAATAATACAATCTTAAATGCCCACTGCTTCCCAACTGCTCATTCTTGCTAGTTTAGGAGTAAATGTTGAAAACTCAGCAATGCAATTTTATAAACTAAAAACAAAGAATGTGTGTGTGTGTGTGTGTGTGTGTGTGTTGATATTTGCATAAAATATTGGATTAAAAAACACACAATGTTTTTCTGCGATTAGAGAGTTGATGATTACATTTAAGTAGAAATATTTTTTATGTTAAATCTCATGAGTAGAATTGATATACCCTCCGTAGCCCTACATAGGTAACATTTTGCACCTAAGGAGACTGTTAATAGTAATTCTCACTTACATGCTAATACCCTTGGGAAAAGTATGAATCCTCTCCCCACCCCTCCAGCTATAGGTAAATAGCAGGACAGACTGGGTTCTATAGCCTTGCATGGCAACTGGTCTACTGCAGAAAGAAATGGCAACCTACTGCAGGAAAAAATTTGCCTTGTCAGTCATGTATCAAAAGATACATGATCACCTAAGCATGTATCACGCATGGCATATAACTGACGGAATTTTGAATGTTGGTTGATTTTTTTCTTTGGTTTATCAAACCATTACAGGTTATTTAAAGCCAGAAAATATTTATAGATGGTAAGAATTTATTTTTTGTGAGATAATGATTCAGTGATACAAGTCTTAATAATTAACCCATAGCTGGGGGAGAAGTGGTGGATCATATGGGAACCAGTGTTTTAATGAGATGTAGCTGTAAGCCTAACTTGAATGATAAGGTGTGGTTGTGTCACACTAGAACAAAGTACTGAGTCAGAAGTGTTTAAGCTAATCAATGGGGAAGGTGAATCCAGATACTGCTGATCAGGTGACAAGACCAGCATCAATTATACAATAAATTTCATTCGACAAAAATATAAGCAATGTTCAGAAAGCAATTGAAAGGACAAAGTCAGATTGTTGTTTAATTTGAAGATCATTCAATTTCATAACAAGCAAAAAAAAAAAAAAAAAAAAATAATAATAATATGAAAATCCAAGTTAAAAAAAAAAAAAAGTAAAAATATGGAATAAAAAAAATTTTTTTTTATTGTAGACTTCTAAAAAAAGTTGCCAATCAATCATTTTAGATAATCATACACAATTAATGTTTCTTATTAATGTTTGCAATAATATTAAATAGAAATTAATAATTGGTTATTGATCTTTACATATCACTTTATATGAAAACCATTTATGGGTTTCAGAACAGAAAGCAATTTTATTCAGTTAAATCTATTAAATAATAACTGTACATTAAGATGTTTGAAGAATTCTCTTCCAGTAATTTATGAAAAAAAACGAATCTGAAAATAACTCAACAGAAAAAATAACTCCTCATTTACAGCAAGAAAAACACAACCAAATTTTAATAATGCATTGATTTCCAAAAACAGTTGACATTAATTCTTCTAGCAACCATGCTAATTAGCATTTTATACTTGCTGCAATTATTAAAACTTGGAAAAACAGTTTCACTTTTAATTTTAACTTTCAATATCAGCAAAAATAATACTAGTGGTTTAGCTTAATGTTGGTTCTATATTTAATATCAGAAATCAATGACTGTAAGAGTTTGCAAATGAAAGGAATATATTTCAGGTTGTTTTTGCCAAATATTTTTAGCTAGAATTTAATAAATCTGCCATGTCATTTTGAAATAATGATGTTTTAATAAAGCATGCACATTAACCATTGACATCTGTACAAGTGAATTTTTGTAGATCAAGTTCAACCATTTTTGTTATTTTCAGCTACAAAATATGCTGAGAAAGAAAATTTTATTTTTATTTTATCACCATTCAAATAATTGTTAAAAAAAATTATGAAATTTATGAACTCTACAACTAACTAATCATCTAAGATATCTCATTAATGGTTGGATAACAATCTTCATTGATTATGCAATCAATGAACATTGTCATTCAATCATTGTGAATTTAAAGATTAAAAAATATTCATAATTTAACCTTTTTGAAGGTCACCTAGATCATTGTTGATTTTCAAATTGCATTTCCTCACATTTTAGATGCAAAAGTCAATTGTATATTTGGGTTTTATTTAAAGATTTTTCCTTAAAAAGCACATTGAAACATTATGATTGTTTAAGCTGCAGTTTTTTTCCAAAACAGTTTTACTTTTATCAACCACCATAAAATAACTGCCAAACACACACACAAAACGAAAGAATTAGTGAATCCAGACCAATGCCTTGTGGACAGATTGAATCAGAATAGTATAAACTCATAACAACTTTGCTTTCCATTGCAACTACTTAATTATTTAATGGTGATTAAATTAATAATGGTTGACAATGGTTCATCTAATAAAAAATTCAAGATAATATTATTACTAATACAACAAAGGTGTTGGATATCTCTTGAATGCAACTAATGAAACTGGCAACACCATTCTGGTTGTAAGTAGTCTACAGAATATTTGACACTATATTGTTGTTTTAATATAAAACTAACATGACTTACTCTCTTATGATCTCAATGTTCTATTTCAGATTTAAAAGCTGTTATTTTCATTAAGAAGGGGAATTAATCACTGGGTTTAATTGATATTATGAATTTGAATATTCAGGTTAATTTGTCAATTATTTTGTATGAACCTTTCAGATAAACACAAGGCATTTTCTAAATTTTTAACAGAAAAGACGGAACAAATGAACGCATAATATAAAGTAATCCTAAATTTTGTTATGTCCAAGACAAGACCAACTTGCTCAGAACAAATTCATAAGGTTCAAAAAATTAAAGGCAGACACTTATTTACTCACTTGAAATCCATACCTATCATCAGATATTCCTTTGTATATAAAGGCAATAATGAGAATTGTAGAATAATGTGAAAAAAGTGAAAGAAGCATTTTCAGTTGTGGACAACATGACAGCTCAAAATGCTTCTATTCTTTTGATAGTCAAAAGAGATTCAAGCTTTTTGTATTAATTTTATAAATGAAGTAACTTTTTTAAAACAGTCTGAAACTTTAACAAAATTGTTGCTACATCAAATTAATTTACTGTACAAGTCAAGTGTGTTTTGTAATCGAGGAAGTAAACACCACAAGTTATTATACTAATCTCCATATCTTTTTCGCTTTAGTCATTTATTAGCCAATGAGTTCTTGTCTTAAGTATTTTCTGAAGTTCTGAGATTTAAAAATATTTTGATTATCCTCATTTTTATTGTTTTAATCACAGCATTCCAGCCAATGCATTCACTGGTCTTCTGTGGTGTTTCTCACTTCCAGTAACTTTTAAACTACCTCTCTCACAGTTACACCTTATCCCAGTCTCAGGTCTTTGCAAATATGTTCCAGGTAAATAGTGACAGATACTTTCTCAAACAGATGATAATAGTTTATCTTAAATTTTATTTAAAATTTTTTTTTTTTTTTTACCTCAGAATATAATTGGTCATGAATGATTTTATTTTTTAAATAATAACTTTCTTTTATTTTTATTACATTATCAACCATTATTAATTTTTGGCTTGAATTTCTTTTATCCTAACTTTAGTTTCTTTTTATTCCAACTTAGAATGATCATTTACTAAAAAATTTTGAAAAAATTGCAATGAAAAGCAATTAAAATTAAGATAAATAAATACAAATCAAATATTAATAAGGCTTGCCAATGGTTCAGTTAATGAATAAAATCAAAATAATATTACTACTACTTTTACTAAGGTACATAAAAATAACAACAACAAAAAAAAAAAAAAAAACTAGAAAATAGATTTATGGTATAGATTTGACCTGCCAACCAATGTTCTGGTAGCCCAATCAGTAGAGGAGCTGCTGTATGTAGACAAGCTTCCTGAATCAAAAAGGATGTGAGTTTGTGTTTTGGCTAGAGCTTATTTTGATCTGCACTGTTAACTTACATTCATAAACTGACAACCTGAGCAAGTTGCTATGTGTAACTAGGAGTAAGATGAAAGAAATACTTGTCAAAAATTAAGAATTGTAATATCACAGTTAAAGAAACTTGTTCACATTGCTTTTGGTAGTTTATTGTAATTACACTACATTTTTAACTTAGTAATTTTTAATTCAAACTATAAGTAAAAATAGTATTGGACACATGTCTTTAAGCAGTTATTTAATATAATAATTTAAGCAAGCTATCATTGAATCAATAGATTAACTTTTTAATTACATATTAAAAAAACTAACCTTTGACCTTATGGCTTTCACATAAGTTTTGGTGGGAAAACTTCAATATGTGTCTTTTTTATTTTTATTTTTTTTATTTCCATGTAATCTGTTACCATTATCAGTATTCTCCACACCAGAGTCACTTTCTTTTAATGATCTTACCATTCTCTGCAATTATTTTCTCAGGAAGAATCTAAATCAACAACATTCTCATCATTCTGACTTTAGCTAAGCCCTTCCAATAAATAAATGGCTTCTTCAATTCAAATATTCCTTGACAATTACATCCTGTTCCCACACATAGTAGTTTTCTAGGAAAAATAAGCTTTTATTAGCTGTTAGTGACACCAGGCAGTCATTTATTACACTAAACTGCTTTTTCATGTACTAATAGGTTGTTATCAACTAAGGAAGAGTAAAGCACAGTTTGACGACATCTTTACAAATCATGTATATACTTATGAGACATCATATACAGGTTGTTCATTGTAAACCATTAACATATAACAAGTTTAATTTTTACAAATTGTAATCTTTGAAAAGAAAATGAGACTCACTTGTATAAACGATGCCTTTTAAACAAATCAATGGCATCATAGTTGCGATGACAGGCCATCAGGTAAGTGGCTGCCTTGTGGTATTGACCATCTGATTCCAATTGGTGGGCATAATCTTCACACACTGAAAGCCAGGTTGCATGAGATGCTGAAAGACAAAAGCAACAACAAAAAATGGTAAATTATAAAATATAAAAACTGAAAAATATCAAATGAAAAATTTTTTTATTATTCATTTATTAATTAGTTTTAGTTTTTGGTTTTCATAATAATGTTCTTGACTAAATCATCCTGATTATTAAAATAAGCAGCTTGAAATTGAAATAAAGTAGAATTGAACTCAAACCAGAAACATTAAAATAAAAAGTACCAATAAGATGAATAAAAACAAATTTATTATGACAATGATGTAAGTAAAATGGGTAATATGAAGTAAATATTTGGAGGAGACATTTACAACTGAAGTGATTAAAGTGGGACCTGACCAGTCCTGGCATTCCAAAGTTGGATTGGTTAAGGTGTTATCTATGTAAGACTTAACATTCCTGCATGTAGAGTGTGGGAGTTCAAATCTTGCTGGAATTTTATTTGAACTTTATACTGCTTTTATGGTTGGAGAATATTTGACTTTGAATGTTGTGATGAAAAGTAACAATGAGATAAAAGAAAAGTAGTTGCTAATTAATACTGTAAAAAAAAAAAATTAAAAATTTAGTTAATTTCTAAATAAAACTTTTTGTTTGCAACATTTAACTCTCCATATGTATAGGGCTTTCAGCCATATCATGTTGAAACACCTTTTCCTGTACGATCACTGAAGTTAAGCAATGTCAAGTCTGATCAGTACCTAGATGGTTGGTTGCTTGAGAATACCAGGTGCTGTAAACTTGGATGTACTGGTGGTCTAATGGATGATGGCTTGGAATTGTGAATCAGAGAGCCAAGTTCAAATTCCAGTTGAGTTAGTTTATCTACTTATGCACAAATACACTTGGAAAAGGTATGAATCCACCTCTTCTCCCCACTTCTATGGGTTAATTAGTAAGATTTGTATCACTAAATCCTTACTATTTAAAAAATGTTTTCTGGTTTTAAATAACCTGCAAAGGGTTGGTAAGCTGTAGAAAAATGAATGAATGGATCAAACAATCATAGAACAAATGATGAAAATAATTCTAGAAATTTTGTATGTAAAAAAAAAACTTCTGATACATAATCTTTAATAAATTATCTTGAAAGTGAATATTTCCCAAATTATTCAGACTAATATCTTCAGATATGAAGAATGATCTTTGATTTCATAAATTACTTAATATTATTCTAACTTCTTAAGAATAGCACAACTATTTTGCCATGATGCAAAAACATAAGACGAGCTGAAAAAAATTGATGATTTACACAAAAATATGACTTTTTTATGATTTTCTTATTTCTTATCTAATATTTTTTTTGATTCAAAAATGTTTAGTTGAAATAAATTCAGACAACTAATCAATAAGTCAGATGTACACTATTTTTGTATGAACTTGTTTGATATCTCTTAGTTTATGATAAACACTCTAAAGTACAATAATACATTATGTAGGGTTAGAGTTTCTAGTAGTAAAGCAACAAGTACTTTTCTTTATCATGTGGAAAATTGGGGGTTCAGCTCCTCTTCTGCAAATTGTTATCAATTGGACATCTTTACTTTCTAAGAGTGTGCAACACACACATTCATATACATATACACACACTATATGTATGTGTGGGTGTGTGTATGTATGTATATATATATATATATATATATATATATATATATATATATAGAGAGAGAGAGAGAGAGAGAGAGAAAATATATATATATGTATATATCAACACTGCATGGTAACTCTCAATTTCATACTTTAAGTGATGGAAACCATGCAAGAAATCATCAAATTTGAATCCTATTTTCTTCAAAGATGATAATCAAATTTTTCAAATTTAACTCAAAATGGACCTACTTCAAGCAGAGAAACAAGCTAACTTTGTGTAAATTATTTAAACTCTTGTAAACTTGAAAACTACTGAAAATTACCAGCTTTTATTTTTGTAAATCAGCATTCAGACTGTGGAGCTCAATAATTGTCACTCTCAGGTTTTATTTTTGCCAGAATAGAGACTCTAAATAGCCTTGTGCCAAACTAGATTAGCAAAATTTCTATTATAAAAGATATATAAAGGTACTGGTTGTTGAACAATGGTTATCAAGCTAATCTTGTAGGCCTTTGCTAGTGAGTTCCATCTCCTCTGAGTACTCAATTAGTGTAGCCTTGTACCAGACCAAACTTAGATATTGACTTAAAGTAAAGTACCTACTGTAAAACTATTGTTGATGAATTACACTTCTCTAGAGGCCCAACTGATGTTGGTGCTTGTGTCAAACTAAACATTGATTAGTAAATATTTATTTATGGTGTCTGTTATAACACACTCATTACCACTGTATCTTGCAGGCTAATACCAAAAGAATTTTATCCTCACTGGGTGCTCAACTACTGTGGCCTTATGTCAGAATAAGTTAAGCTTAGTAAGTGTCTACTTTCTAAAAAAACAAAAAACAAAGACATGAAATGTAGAGTGATAATTTATGTCAGAATAAAAACAACCATCTTAACATCTGGGCATGATGTTCCTCCAACTACTTCTGTTCACAAACAGATGCACTGTGCACCAGCCCCTGAGGGACATGTCCAACTGATTAAGGTCAGGCAACTGACAAGCAAATCTGTGATTCAGAACTGGATATTATTATTATTAATAAAAAGAAGAAGAAACCTTACTATTCAGACCAGCAGAGAGATAATCAAGAAGCAACTATTCATAACTAATATGTTCAATTCTCATTAGGTGCTCTATTTTTGTGACCCTGTAGCAGACTGATAAAATGCTTATTGTAAAGTAAAGGTTAACATTTATGCCATTTTTTTTTTTTTGCAATTTTTCAGTTTTCAAACTATTTAGTCTTCAACTCAAGGTCAACAAGAGGAACTGCCTACTGGAAATGCCATATTTAGGAGTTGATTATCTTTTCTTACTCTTTGTAAAGAGCTAAGTGCAGAAAAGAGACACCTATTGGCGCTTCTGAGTAAGATGTCACTATTGTAAGACAATCTTTAGCTGACATAGAATTTTCTAACAACTGACTTGTTTGTGCCAAAGGCAAAAATAAGAAGAAAAAAAAAACTATCTAAACAGAACATAATGACACGTTTCGTTCATTTGCTGTGTATGTTGAGGGAGTAAAGGTGGCAGGTAAATGGAGATCAGTCCCAGTGACCTACTAACATTCTTATAAGCAAAAGATCTGCTGATAAAAAATAAAACTAGCAAAAGGGTGAAGGATAAGAATAATAATAATAATTAAAAAACAAAAACAAAAAAAAAACAAGCATGTTTAAAAGGATTTGCATTCAGTTCTATTTTAAAAGAAAAATATTCTAATCTCTAGAAGAATCTTTAATCTGCTCCTTCAATGTAATCAGTGGTAATATTTTGAAGGTAATTTTTAGGTTGTGTTTTGCTTTGGTTTGGCTAGGAGCCATCTTATAAGAAAGAAAGAAATTATATATAAAAACTTGAAAAGCCTGAAAAATTATTTTATAAATGTATTTTAGTTATTAATTTCATGAGTTTAGATCACTGTAAAATTATTTTTCTCTTGTTAAAACAAGTAATTTTTAATTAAGTATTACCATATTTAATTTTTAATTAAGTATTACCATATTTGAAGGCATATAAGGCCCTGTTTCCTATTTACATTTTACAGTATTCTGAATTTATTTGGTCATCTTTATCATCTGGATAAACATTAACCAAATAGATTCTTCAACTTTAAATAAAAAATTCAGGACATTTTTAAGCTATTTTCAAGGAAAAAAATAGTGTGTGTTTGTGAGGTGTGTGTGGGGGGAGGGGTTATATGCTATTAAAAATAGTAATTTGATCAAATTTTCCTATCAAAATTTACTTTCTGAAATTACAATATGGTACAAATGTTTATTTTATTAAAAATGAATTTATTCTATAATAAAAAGAATGGGTTGTTAAAAGCTCTAAGACTAAAAGTGTTGGGTGGGAAACAACTTCATTAAATTTTATTAACTGACTACAAAAACTAATAAAGAAATATTCTTTATCTGTTTGATTTAGAAAAGAACTTTGTCCCGGAATAAAATTTTAATAGAAATGAATGCTGCTCTTTTTTTGCAAAAGGTTTACACAGATCAATTTAACAAATTGCTGAGAGATAATATTTTCAAATTTGAGCCATTATAGATTAATTATTTCCAAGTAAGAGAAAGATTCTGTTGAACAAGGAGTTTTGAAACTTATGGAAAGAAAACCACAAGAATCTTCAGAGAATAAAAATGTAAAGTATTTTAATTGATTAATAAAAACAATGAAATAGAGAATTTGGCAATGATTGACAATCATTAATTGACATCTGATAAAATAATTTAGATCTGAAGAGAGAATTTATTATTTTCATTTTGTGTAGAAATGTGAAAGGGGAAGGATAATAGGGGGGGTAGAGCAGAGAAGAAGAAAAAAACAAAAAGGAAGGAAGCTAGAAGAAAGGGAGAAGGGAAAAAATGAAAAGGGAAAGGGAGAAGGGAAAAAATGAAAAGGGAAAGGGAGGAGGAGGAGACAAGGAAAGAGAGAGGAGATTATTTTGACATTCTTAAGATGTTTTAAAAAAAAAATTAGAGTTGCTCTCCCTATACGGTCAGTCAAGAGGGGAAAAAACTTTTAAATGAACAGGGACAATTAGAAATTCCATTAGCTTTAATTTTTCAAAATAAAATTATACAATATGATGATAATGAATTAAAAGTATTCTTAGGTTTAATATTAAAAATTGGTAATTCCCATCTAAAAAAAATTTATATATATATATATATATATATGTGTGTGTGTGTGTGTGTGTGTGTGTGTATGTGTGTTTAGGCAGCAATTTTTCATTGATGCATGTTTCATTAAATAATATAGACAAGTTTTTTCTATTTATTTTAAGTAAGTTTCTTTCATATTGTCTGATAAGCTTAATAACATTATCATTGAAAGACGAAAGGAAATCACCATATTGATACATGTTTTAATCCTATCTAAGCTTTCGGCTTACATAAGCCATTATCAAAGATGACAATTACATTTCAATATATTAAACAATACACGGACAAAACAATAATGATAGTCTGTTTTTGTTGCATGAAAAATTTCAAAGCAACGACAAACTCATGTGTATGAGATGCAGAAGCAAAAATCGCATCGCAGCTTGTGACGCCACACATGAACACACAAGAGTGAAAACTAAAACACACCATTGGCTTCATTTCTACCCAAGCCAGAAAATGCAAGCTAACTTGCTTAACAAAAGGGGAGGAGAGAAAAAAAAATTTCATTCAATGAATGGTCTTATTCATTCTTTAATCCATGGTTCATTCCTTTTCAGCCAAATCCACCGGGATACTTCTTCAGCTACATCAGAGCTTTCTTTCAGGACTTTCTTTTTTTCTGCTCCCACTATTCCAGTTCAGATTTGCTAGACTTGGGAGAATGTCATAGACTGATTTTATTAGGAACTGAATTCTACTGAAATCAGTGCGCCAACAATCTGACCAATTTATCTTATGCTGTTCAACTCTTTCCCATGCTCCTTGTTGGCACAGCCCAACCATTCTACTGTAAAGGTTTTCCTTGGTACCTGTACGGATTTCATTTTGTAATAACTGGCACCTTTCTTTACCTTGGGCTTTATCATATCATATTCTCTTCTGCAACAGCTAATTCCTTACTGGCACACCATTTTCTCCCTGTCCAGGTCTCTATTCCTGCTCCTCTCACTTTTGGGTCATTAGATT